GGATGAGGAGGAAGGTTGCGAAGGGGAGATGCATGGATGAAGAAGTTCACAGCGGCAGAGAAGAGAAGATGATAGTTAGGGTTTGTTGTATGATTTAGATGGTGTAAATATTGCAAAAGCTAAGGGGTATTTTTGTCTTAAAATTTTATGATTTTTGTGTTCCACGAGACGGAACGACCTGTTCCAGAGGGGGAGGTGGAACAAAAATTTAATACATTTTCGTTCCGTGGGACAGGGCGTTCCACATAATTTAGTGCACCAAACATAGGACATAACATGTCCGTCCCACTCCGTTTCGTCTCATCCCACGTACCAAACGCGCCCTAATAGTTTCAACCTATCAAGAACTCGACCAAGCCATGCTCAAATGTGATCCCTTCACGGTCCTTCAATCATAAGGACTCGGTTAGGTTGGTATTATCTTGGGCTTGAACGTCATCGGCTTATAGAACTAATGATGGGCCGAGAATAAAAAATTCCTACTTCAGATTACTCATTCATGGCCCAAACTTATATTTTATGCCCAAACACTACCACTTTTTCTACACTCTGGTGCACAACTGTTAATTTTTACATTGAAGGATGATAATTATATGGGGTGGTTGTATACATAAGTGGTGTTCTGTTCGTATCCTTAATTATTTTATGGGACGTTATTTGACGTGTATCTGTGAGATTTTTGTACGAATCCTTTTTTTTCTTTTCAAATAGGGAGACAAATTTTATATATGATCAAAGTTGGTAAATGCAGCTTAATAAATATTGTTATAAGAATTGTTAATTAGGATGTCATCTGTTTATACAATAAATAAGGTGGTTTGACTCCAAGTTAGAAAGCATTGGTAGGATTAGGATTGGAGCAATTAATGATGTAATGGTGAGTTTAATAAGTGCAAGAAATGTCATTTAATACTATAGTTTATTAGTTTTTTTTTTTTACTTGTAATAGGAGATCTTAGGTTCGATTCTTAATAATGGAGAATTTAAACCATATTATTGCTAATTCATTGTGAGATTTAATCCACTGTCATACATCCTTGATGTAAATAATATCTTTTGTTAAAAAAAAAAATTGTGTTATTGGAACTCTAAAAATCTCATTTTACATTCCGCGCAAGTGTATTTTTTTTCCTAATATAAAAAATTTGGAATGTAGAATAAGATTTTTGAAATGCTAATAACAATTCTCTAAATAAATAAAAAATAAAAAAAAAGAAAAAAAAAAGAAAAAAGCAAGCAAGAAACAAAGTGGACGGATGGAGTTGGCGAAAGAAGTTTACCTGCTCCTTTTCAGTTTTCTTCGTAATCAATCATAACTGTAACTCCTCCACCTCCATCTAAATCGTTCATCAAAACTATTAATTATTGTGTCGGTCTTCCTTTTTTTTTTTTTTTTTAGGGAATTGTTATTAAAATTTCAAAAATCTCATTCTAAACTTCAAACTTTCTATATTAGGAAACAAAAATACATTTGTGAGGGGTGTAGAACGAGATTTTTGAAGTATCAATAACACTTTCTTTTTGTTAATATCATCATTAAAAAAACGTTAAGTAGACAATATCTTTTTAGATTATATTTTGTAAATCATATTAATTAATTTTTTTAAATTATTGAAAAAAAATTGATTATTAATCGCCTCATCACGTGGTGGTGGTGTCTCTAGTATTATCTGTACAATTAATTCTCCGAAGGGAGTTGATCTCAAATCATGATTTTGGTATGTGAGACCAAGAAAAGGCATCATGATTCGTTATTGTCTGCTGTTTTGGAATGCCCTCAGAGTCGGAGTAGGATTCTTTCCCTTCCTAATTTCTTTCATTTTTCATCTCCTTATATTTAACCTGTTGCAATTACGCTACATCTACATCTTGTTTTGAATTTTTTATATAGAGAATAAGATAAAAAAAGAATGTGAGAAAAGGTGATGGTAATAGAAGAGAGAAAACTACTTTCATCCGGTCTCTCACTCAAGTCTCATCTGCCTGCCTGCCAGCGTGGGCTGTCCGGGGTCCCACGTCTCATTTCGTATAATTAATGGATTTGTTTACTTGACTGAATTATGACTTAGATCCCAGCCCCCGCCATATCTTTAGTTAGTTGATGAATAATTTTACAACCATAATTTTATTCTCAGTCCGTGGCAACGTGGGGTGGAGGAGTTGAAGGTTTAGTTGTCTACACTACTCACTCTCTCTCTACTCATCTCTTTCCTGCAATGTCGGCTTCTTGACCCCTTTTTTCGCTTCTTCTTCGTCTTCTTCTTCCTTCTCTCTCTCTCTCTCTCTCTCTCTCTCTCTCTCTATATATATATATATATATATTTCTGGAAATACAGGTGCTTACTTGCTTGGGTTTGAAGTGCCCAGCACTTGATAGGCAGACAAAAGGCGACTAGACTAGGTAAATGAATCATCCCATATGATATAATATGAAGAGGTAAATTAAATTAAATTTGCAAGATTGGATTGAGATTAATGAGCAGCTCAATCTTTTTCCTTTCTGATATTAATTCATGATGAATGTTGGTCTGGTTAAATTGCAGCGCTACTTCTGACAAGATTAATGGACTCTTCTCCTTGTTTAACCCTCTTGTAAGTCTTACAAGTCTTAATTTGTTAATTCCTGCTAGGTTTTTATCTCTCAGTTTCTTTCACCTGATGTATAAGCATTGCTCCTGATTTGCCATCCATTTATTCATTCGTTCATTCTAAATTTGTTTCAATTTGGGTATACAAATTTGGAATTTACCACATAATTTCATGAGTTGAAGCTTTCTTTCTCGATTTCATTGTTGAATTCTATGGATTCAGCATAACATGTTTAGGATTTTGAAGAGACTTTGAAGATCGTAAATATCGCTCAAATATAAACACTAGCTAGCTAGGTATTCATGGTTGATCATGGCCTCTAGTCTCAAGTCTAGACCAATATTCACACATGTTTTGTATCTATCTTTTGACACTGATTGCACAGTTGGGTAGGACTTCCCTTGATCAGGCTTCCCTTTGCTGGGATTCTTACAAGGCACTGGGTTCTAGTTCCGTCAACTCTATTGCTTCCCTTGATCGCGCCTTTCAGCTTCTCCTACTTCCTCCTTGTCCTCCTCAAGTATATTTTCTTCTAAGAATCCTTGTGATAGTTGGAGTCCACATTGCAATGAGTATGCTACAGTGCATCAAGGGTTGAAAGAAAAAAGTGGACCCTGTGCTACAATGACAGAAGTTTCGAAGATATGCTTAGACGACGACAGCTTCAATTATGCTGCTAAGATGCTGCAAAATTTCAGGTTGAGCACATTGTACCTTAGTAGGACATATATATAGTTTTATATTTTGTTGTCCTCTTTGGTAAAACTTGATGGGTCAACTAATTAAATCATGTATCTTACCCTTTTTCTGGTTGATGTTTCAAAAATTCCTTAGACTTGAGAGATTCTTTTGAGTGTGACATGCTTCATTGCTCTATATAGATCATTGGTTCGAAGTCTAGAGAAGGTTGACGTTCTGAAAATGAAACGTGAACAGAAGCTTGTGTTCTGGATTAACATTCACAATGCCTTGGTGATGCATGTATGGCTTCTAAACTACAACTTTTTGTCATCTATGTCCTTTCTTTCTCTTCACAGTAAAACTTTAGTTCATAATCAAAACTTTTACCCTGAAAGTGACTTGTTCTATATACTTATGATTATGGGAAAATGGGATATTCTAGTAACAAAATGATTACTTTTCTAAGACATTGATATATATATATCATGTATGATACGTTAAAGAAACCATAGTATTTTCTTGACTCGTTCAGAGAGATTGCAAACGGATGAATACTGCTGGAAGATATTGGGCATAGGTGTAATACATGTCTAATGGAGCTTATGACAATTTTTTTTGTAGGCATATCTGGCACATGGAACTCATAATCGTGCGAAAAGTAGTTCAATTTTAAAGGTACGTAAAAGAAAATACAAATAATTTTTTAACGTTATTTGAAGCTCACCCTTACCGGCACTAGTATCTTTTACAATCCTATTTTCAGGCAGTGTACAATATAGGTGGACATAGCGTAAATGCGTGTATCATACAGACCTCCATCTTAGGAATTCGAGCACACCACTCAGCACCGGTATGCATACTGTTCTCTGATACCTTACTGAACCTCATATGGTCTGACTGCTTTAGGATTCTCAACATATCCTGTAAGCCAACCATGTGTTTGTGACAAGAATAGGCCTCTGAGCTTTAAGAATATTAGTGCGTTCTTCTGCAACGCAATTGTGAACAATGGCCCTAAAAACTCAGCAGAGCTTTAAGAATATTAGAGCGTTCTTCTGCAACGCCATTGTGAACAATGGCCCTAGAAACTCAGCTGAGCTTTAAGAATATTAGCGAGTTGTTCCTTAGAAGCTGAGAGTATGTTGGCTAACCATCATTTGAAGCTAATTTGATGCATATCCAGCATTCACAATGTTCATTGCATACCTATTACACTAGTATTATATTATGTGCTCAAATCAATTTCAGCTTGTAATGTCTTTCTTCATACTATGTGAATGCAGCAGCAACAAACATTGTTTCACTGAGGAAAGAATTTGAAGGCGGGGAGCACTAGACATTTATACGCATTAGAATACCCTGAGCCACTAGTCCATTTTGCTCTATGTTCAGGGGCATGCTCAGACCCAGCGGTAACAAGTTTCTTCTTTTAAAAACTATTTTTAGTTACCTGTTTCTAGATTTGTCTGAAATGGTGCCCCTTTACTGGATATAGGTTCGAGCATACACGGCAAAGAGCGTATTTCAGGATCTGAAACTTGCTCAAACAGAATTTATTCAAGATAGTGTCAAGGAGACAGAAGTTTTCCTCCCTAAAATACTTGACTAGTTTACAAAAGACATGTCGCTGGGTATGTTAGGCCTCGTGGAAGAAATAAATGACTAGTTTACAATAGACAGACACTATATATTTATTCGTTCTAAAAACATCTTCAAGGTTAAGCAGCTCATGAGAGTTGGGATGTACCCCTCTTTGTTGTGTTGACAATGACAAGGTAAATAGAGCAATGCCGTTTGCATGGACACTACTTTGCAGACTGCAATACAATCACAAAAATCATTAGCCACTCCGAATTTCAGAGTCTATTGGCACGACTTACTGTGATGCTGGTGGAGTGTTCAAGTTGATCAGAATCAGATGGCTCCCAGTTGAGCGTAGACGAAAGAATCTTGGAGAGCGTGATGAAGGCTTCACCCATGCTTGGCCGAGAGTTGACCTGAGGAGCAACACAGCGTTGAGCCAACTGGGCCATGGAAAAGGCAAGCTCCAAGGGGTACTCACGCTTGAGGTAGGGATCCATGAAGCCTTCAAGTTTCTCTCTCACACGGTCTCCTTCCAACACCCCATTTATGGATGCAGATAGCAATACCTCTTCACTGTTTTTCTCAATGCCATCTGCGGCAGCAGCGGCCACGGCTTCTCTTCCGGATAAGAGCTCCAACAAGACAACCCCAAAAGCAAAGACATCTAGTTTGGGAGTAATGACTCCGTTCTGGATGTACTCCGGGGCCATATATCCATGAGTGCCCACCACATGTCTGGTGAGTTGGAGTGCTTGTTCTTGCTGCGAGTCTTGATCACTGCGGTGGTAGTCCAAGTCGACAGCTCTTGCCAAGCCAAAATTGGAAACCTTGGCCCTCCAGTTGGCATCCAAGAGGATGTTGCTGGTCTTCAAGTTGTTGTGTATGCAGGGAGGGTGGGAGAAGTTGTGGAGATAATTAAGCGCATCAGCCACGTCGTGGGCAATCTGAACCCTCTGCTTCCATGACAAGGACATATTATGATGAAGGCAGTCTGCGAGAGAGCCGGAGGGAGCGTACTCATAGACAAGGTAAGTGTGTGCCTCATGGACGCAGAAGCCAGACAGTCTTATGATGTTGGAGTGATTGATCCGCTTCAGAAGGTTGATCTCATTCTCATTACCCTCCCCTTTCACGACTTTGATGGCCGCCTCATCCCCCTCAAACGATCCCTTGAACACCGAAGAGTGTTTGTTAATTCTGTTGGCCTCGCTGAAGAATTGGGTGGCCCTCTGTAGTTCCTCCACTGTGTAAACAGACAAGGACTCAACGGCATGCCGAAGACCTCTGGAAGAAACGGCAGTAGACGACCACGATTTGGTGTCTGATGAAGGCAGCGAGGTTGGCATATTCAAGTGGTCTGGGCTCCTGTGACCAGAAGATGATGAGACTTGTAGTTTGGATTTGGGAGACGACGGGTAATGGTGGCGAGGAGGATGACGACGATGGTGGAATAAGAAGAAGGCAAGAACAAGGAGGGTCAGGAGGCAAGCAGCTCCTACGCCAACACCCACAAAGATCCACTTCTTGTTGCTGGAGGAGGAGGAGTTCCCAGCTGCTGGCGGCGATGATGGAGGAGGAGGAGGAGGAGGAGAGAAGAGTTGCAGTTGAGAAGGTGAAGGTTTCGTGGTGAGAGGAACCAGAATTGGGGTGAAGGGATAAATGATGTCACTGGAGGATAGGCGGTTGGCTTGGAGCAAGGTGGAGCGGTCGATGCCGAAGCGGTCAGCGATGGTGGAAGGCTCGTCCCCCCAGGTGACAATGTAAGAAAGGAGGAAGAGGACCCCAGCGGCATTCTGGTTGGCGGTGGGGCAAGCGCATCGGAGGGGGACTTGGAGGGAGAGGCCGACGGTGAGGTTTTCGGCGTCGAAGGGGTTTTGGGCCATGAGGGACTGGCAGGTGGTTAGGCCCTGGTAGGTGTTGTTGGCGATTCCGAAGTAGGTGTCGGAGGACTTCAAGACGTACGAGGAGTTGTGCTGGTAGTAACTGTAATTATTGTTGGAAAAGCAGGAGCAGTTGACGGGGACGATGACCGGAGTGCCGGTGGGGATGGGGTCGACGTCGGACACGTTGTTGGCGGAGGCGATCTGGGTGGGGAGGGAGTTGAGGAGGTAGGCGATGGAGGAGGGAGAGTTGTAGAAAGGAGGGAGGGAGCGGAAGGTGAGGTAGGAGAGGCATGAGGAAGCGATGCCGTTGCAGACGTAACCGTCGGTGGTGTTGTAGTCGTTGTAGCAGTCGAGCTGCTTGTTATCAACGTAGCTCTGCTGCCCTTGCACCACCACCACAGTCACAGGCGTCGCCGCCACCAACAACAACAGTAGGACGACCCAGTCGCACCATAAGCGTGAAATGGTCATCATGGACACCGGCTGCGGGTGGCCTATGAGGCTGTATGTCAGTGAGAAATTGTTTATAATTTTCAAAGAGACCTACCAGTGCCTGGCTTTAATTAATGGACAAGGATTGTCTACCTTCTCTTTTGATGTCGTTTTGTGCTCTTTTTGTTTTGTGTGAGCACCACGTCAATACTTTATATTATTTTTTTTATAAAGATAATGAGATAAAAATAAATAGTAATATAAAATATTAATATAACTTAACCGTGATCACATAAATAAAAGATCACAGGAAAATACCGAAAATAAAAAAGCAGACAATCTTTGTCCTTAATTAATTGAATTCAAATCAGAAGGCTCAACGCGTCTTATTAATTGTTTACTGTCTTTTTGTTGACGTTTGATTTTTCTTTCCAATTTCTCACGCCGCATTCAGACGTATTCCCGTCTCTGTCATTTTTTTGGGTCGTCCCTGGAATGCCTACCAACCATTAAACAAGACAAGACGAAACAAAACAAAACAAACTAGCACGTTAAATAAAACAAAAAATTACATTTCGAATTGTTCATGTATTTTCGTTTTCACTAGTTTTGAATCAACTAGTCTAGTAATTAAAAAATAAAAAAAATTATATTTGTTCAATTTGCCTTTCGTTCTATTCAAAATGGAAGGATTACAAGACAGAATGAAACAAGTGCTCGTTGTTGCCAAAAAACCAATCCTTTGTTGCATAGTCCTTTGTGATTTTACATCTTCATCACTCCTAACAACCCTATAACTATAATTTGAACGGTATAACATCCAATTGTGAACCCGGCATTTCACATCTAACAAGAATAATACTTCCCCAAACTCACTATCGGGTGAAAAAGCAACCCCTACCATGACAATGATAATAACTCCAGTGAACTCAACTAGTACCATCCATTACCAACACGCTCAATCACACTTCCTTTTGAGGCCGCGGCCGCATCTTCTGCACGCTAAAATGGCAGCCCAAACTCCTCCTATCAAAGCAATTACCAAAACTGCAACATCCAATGGAACTTTGTTCAGTTACAAACAGCATTTCAAGGAAATCTGACCTTCAAATAAATTTATATATAAAAATTAAAAAACAAAAAAAAAGAAAAAAAAAAAAAGCAAAACAAAATACGATGATCTAGTTAAAGAGCTTTGAACATGGTTTGATGTCCCCACCCCACTCTTTGTCCCTTGAAAAATTTAAAAACAGACAGACAAACAAACAAAAGGAAATACGAAGACAGGAAGCACTTCCCCTTCCTTTATGATGGTCTAGTTCAATTTTCAGATTTTATCATGGAGCTTTAAAACCTTCTCTTTCTTTTTCTCGTTCCATTTATCCATTACCATAGGCTATAAATATTTTTGCATAAAACACTGAAAGATCACGCATGCAGTGAAGAAACAAAACAGCTAGGCACACTCCGAGCAAGAAGCACTCTGTAGTAAAGCTCAAAGTCTGAGAGTAACATACTAGCTAGAGCACAAGAAGCTAAAATAGCCAGGCGGTATCTGACAATCCATGGTAGACTGACTTCCAGAGAGCAGTGCCTTTGATGCTCTCTTGTTTTCTTGGTGATCGAAGAGTTGAAATTTCCTGCCTGCAATTCCAATAGCGATGTGGCTACACCTACCACTGGATTTCCGTTCACATCCCTCACTTCAATTTTCAATGTCACAGGAGTTGCATTCCAGTCTATCTCAACTGCTCCAAAATTAGGCAGACCTGTTAAAAAAAGCATCCAGAAAGTAAAAGTTCTGATATTTTCTCATCAGGAAACTCGTAGACAAGTCACGTTTACGACATCATGCATACCATATGTGCACGACCTATATCTGCAGTTGTGGTCCATGACTCTCATAGTGGTAGGAGTTAACCATGCCAAAAATCTCACTAACAAGTGCAACGGCTGTGGGACTACCTTCTCAACTGCTTGGGTAATACCACTTGCAGTAACATCATACAATGGATACCCAGTTGCGCAATCATAACGTGTAATTTCTCCAAAGTGAACATCTCCACTTATGAAAAACGTTCCATCCCTCTACAAGGAAGAGGATTTTTAAAAGAGCTGATTTAAGCATCCCCCAGTCTCAGACCAAATAGATAGATCGATATATAGAGATAAAGAGTGACTAATTTGTAAAAGTAAGAAAAAAAAACACCCAGCATCAGGCACCTGCTGCTTGTATCATAACTAGAAGTCATAACTAAAATAAGTTCAATTAAAAATATGCATCTTGGAGCATGCATATCCCACCTTACTATCTTCTATCAATTTAAATAGCCGATCTCTCTCCTTTGGAAAACGTCCCCAAGATTCCATGTAAAACAATGGCCCAGTGGTTGCCGAAAGATTTGATATTACCTGAATTGGAAGAAAAAATAATCACTCAAACGTATGACAGATAAACAAAACTTGCAGAAGAGACATGGCACATGTAACCAACCCAACTATCCAAATATTGGGGACTAGTTCACAAGTAAAATTAAATATATAGCAACAGCTTCGTGTAGAACGACAAATGCTATGCACTTATTCAAGCATAATAACTCAATATAATGTAGGCATTAACTGACAACATACCTGTATAGAAGATCCAATAATGGTAACTGATGTTGGAGAACTGTTCAGCTCCTTTTCTAACCATTCCCACTGTGAACTCCCCAAAATAGTTCCATCACTACGTAATGGGTCTCTATGATATCTAGTATCTAATAGTATAACCTGAGGAAGTTTCAGTTGCTGATGTTTGATTAGTCAGAGTTTCAGTTGCTGATAATATTGCACTAAATCCCAAATAAGCTTTCCTGGGAAAGGCCATTTAAATTCCACAAGAAAAAAAATGTTTCAGAGAAACTATAAAAAACTTTTACTTTGATACCTTTACTAGTCTACCAATGGGTCCAAGTGTATAAGATGCATAAACTCCGTCTTGCTTACGCCTACAGTTGTTCAGTTATATAACAACTCAAAATAATCAGTAATAATTTGGCATTACGAATTAATAATATAGCTCTATACAGTTACACCAGAATTAGAAAAAGTTAAAATTAATGACGTTTTGAAGTTCTAGCAAGGAAGCTTTAACAATGTGAACCCCAACATCTTTGGATATCAATAAGGTAATAATGACAATATTATAAACAGGTCCTCACCTTGGACTATCTTGAGGTTCACCCAAGAAATCAAGGAGAAGCCTTTGATTAGTTACTTTCCTGCTAAATTCCTTTCCTGCATCATTTAGTCCATAATCGTGGTCATCCCATGTGCCAATTACCTGCGAGATTGACATGCTACCACTTTGAACGAGGAGTAATTATATGAAAATGTGAACAAGCAAGAATAAGAATCTCAACAACGATTCAGACAGAAATGTGAGGATTAACCACCTTAGTATTCTTTCGAAGACGAGAATAGCCAGGGTTAGACTTGGCTTTCCCATATCTGGACTTCATTTCTTGCTCAGAAGAAGGAATAAATCTAGGGGAATTCCTCCATGGACCAATTGTTCTTTCCTTTCCAAATATTTTAAAAGGACGCCTAATGTCTCCATAGATGTTATCACCAAGCCAAATGAAAACTTGGGGATCAAAATCGATTATTGCATTCCAGATGGGCTGCACAAAAGAAAAACTTTCTGGCATGACATTTCGTTGTGTGGCCCTAAACCCTAAACCATGAAGCTAGATGGCATATGAAAAGGTAAGAAACATTTGCAGTAGGTCTCGCGAGCGGAAAGTAAAAGCAGACAGACACAATACGCACAGAAACATTGCGTAAATAGTAAATACTGTAATCGGTCAAATGGAAAGTTGGAGTACACACTACTAGGAATCAAATTTTGTTGTAAGGAGATTGGCATTAGGGCAATGGCATAATGATATTGCCCCTGGAACCAGGAGGAGCGGAGCCATGGAAGGCGGGGCTCCAACAACTAAGCTAACTATGTTACTTTGATTTCGGCATTGGGCAATTTGTATAAATTAGGAAATTGAATCGCCTAACAACTGATATCGACCTGTCATTTCATAGTAATGAAAAAGAGGAGATGAGTGGAGGAAGAGACGTCACCTGAGGAGCTCCCTGGTTGGCGCATGATCCAAAGCCAATACGAGTAACCAGGTGGTGATGCGCAGACTCAGCCGCCACTTCAACCGCCGCCGCTGTCAACCACCACCACCACCACCACAACTTCCAACCCATCGCTCTCTCTCAATTCACAATTCCCTTTTCCTCTTTCTATCATGCGATTATAAGAAAAGAAAAGAAAAACAAGGGTACAGGAAATCCGGTTGCATTTTTCTCCTTCTTTTATATTTCTCTTATTTAAAAGATGGGCTTTAGTTGGGCTTTGTCGCAAACCACAGAAAATCAAAGGCCATACAAAAGCCCGCTTACTTAGGGATACATCGCTTTGTCATTGAAAATGCAAATGCAACGCTCACTCAGTGCGAGTCTGAGTCCGAGTAGAAGAGGCAGAGGCACCGCTGTCGATTCACTTCCAATGGCAGCCGCCGGTGGTCCTAAGTGGGCCCAGAAGACCATAACTCTGCCTCCCTTCAAGAGGGGTTGTCATCTCGTCACCCCTAAGGTACCTACTCTTTTGAATTTTGATTCTTGAGTTGATCCATCCATCAAACACTAACCCTTGATTTGAAATCAATTGAGTTGGATTCACAGTGAAACATGTATGAAACATGTGTTCAGGTCTCTTAGAAATTTAATTTCTATTTGAATTTTCAGATAGTGAAGGAAATTGGGGAGGACTTGTCAGACTTCAAGTGTGGCCTTGCCCATCTCTTCTGTAAGTTTGCCTGCCTAATACTGTTTTCTTTCGACACTTGTTTTGCTTGTTTTGAATGAATATATAACATCTGTGTATATTTATTTGTGGGTAATATTCAGTGCAGCACACAAGTGCTTCTCTTACTATCAATGAGAATTATGACTCTGATGTTCGTCACGATGCAGAGACATTCCTCAATACCATTGTTCCTGAGGTTACTTACTTTCGTCTTGTTTCCTTTCCCCTGTTTTATGATCACATGATTCACATCTTATGTACCAGCAGCACTAGCAAGCATTATATGATGTTCTTGTCTTCATTTATTTTCAGGGGACCTCTGCACCATGGAAGCATACCCTTGAAGGTTAGTATTCGATTCCATTTCATTGTTTCATTCACGGCCTTCGTCTCTTCTTTCGAAGAATACTTTGCTTTTCTCTGTTTTAACCCAATTGCTATAAGGCTATAACTTGGTTGGCTACGTCTTTGAGTTTGCATTATATGCACTGTCGTTTGACTGCTAGCTACTGTGGTGCCTAGTAGCTCTGAATTTAAGTTATCTGAGTTTTACAGGCCCAGATGACATGCCAGCACATATTAAATCATCAATGTTTGGCTGCACACTGACGTAAGGATACCTTACTAGCTTGTTTGAAACTGTTTACATGTGCTGTGAGGAATTTACGGCCTCGTTGGCATTTACATGTTCCTTGTTCTCATGCAGGGTTCCAATTACAAATGGAAAACTCAACATGGGAACATGGCAGGTATGTAAAAGTGAAAACCATTATTCAACTTTTCTAAGTTTTCTACCTCTAAAGGGCTTGAATCTCTCAACCTTGAAATTAGGGTTTATGCTTGGAAAGATTTTCACCTATGCTCTGCTGCTTAATAAATATATTGGATGATGCCTAATTATTCTCTGTAGGAATAGAACTTAAAAGTAAATTCTGGAGAAATAAAGGCATCATGTTAAGGGAAGGTAAACCGCAGAGCAGTACTTAAGAACTTACTAGCTGCAAAAGGAGTTTTTATGAGAACATTTACATTCTGAGCCTTGTTCCCTACTACCGTTGAAGTGTCAGTAACGGCTAGAACTATTTTTTTTATGTAGGCAGAACATGTAAGTTAAAAGACACATGTTTTGAATGCTGGTGGTCAATGGCGTTAGTGCATGATGGAATGTTTTAGAGACCTTACTATAAGCATCTTGACTAGGCGTAAAATTCTTGTATTTGAGTATATAAGCTGAGCATGGAGTATGAACTCATGAGAACAGAATGATAGATAAGATATGCATAGGCCTTTTTTTTAAGATTTCATCAACCCCTTTAATTTCTAAGGGACATGTGAGTGAGGCAATTAATGGCGCTATGGAATTACTCTTTGGCTAACAATTACTCTGTTTTTTCCTTTTTTAAAAACATCACATTCTATTTCCATTGCATAATTGTTTGGCTCTCTAATAAATCAAAATTTCCGGTGTGTTATAGCTTATGGAATATTGTTTCTTTTTTCCTTGTATTGATGCTGCTTCAGGGAATATGGTTGTGTGAGCATCGTGACTATTCTACAGCACGGAAAGTTGTGGTTACCCTGAATGGAATATGAGATTCTAAGATTTGGATATTTTTCATCCAAGTCTGTAGATAAGTCGTACATAGACATCTGGTTTGTTCATGGGAACCTCCTGGAGAGATGTTAACGTCCTAGCTGTTTTCTGCATCTTTCTGGCTGAATGAACATCTGGGAACTTGTTACTTGTAAAGGATTTACTACTTTTGTGCTGCGGTATTGTAGAAAATGTAAGAAGTTACGTGTTCGGATGTGGGAGGTAAAATCCGATGAAATTGAAGATTTACCAAGCTCGATTATTGTAGAGACCCTTGAATATGTCACGCAGGAGCTCTATCATCGGGTTTCATAAAACTAGAAAATTTAAACTACTTGTTAACCAAGTGACTTATTACTAAAATATTTCAGTTATATGTAATGAATAAAAATGTAATAAGGGTAATAAAGATCAATTAGTATGCAAGCATTGGCAGGAGCATTATTCGGTGAACTTGTCCTTTTTCTCGACAGTTTTGTTCTGAATGTGGAATGTAAAACCCAAACAAATTAGGAACAAAACAAGTAACAAGATTGCACAAACTAGTTGCAAACCCAGGGCACGAAACCGGACGCCAAATTAAACCCTTACTAGTCATACAAACTCGAGTTTATTACATTCATCTTGTGATTGGGTTTATTCAATTTAAAAAGAAAAAAAAAATGTAAATCAAAACCGACAAATCACAACACTCAAGCCATTCCCCAGCCAGTTAAAAATTATTCCCATTGTTTGTGAAGAATTTCTGCACTGACCAATCTATGGCTACAGTCAACAGAGACAAGCCCTTCAATAGGGTTTGTTCCGAAGCCTAGCAATCAACATCTTAATGCACAAGGAAGATCAAACTTTGGTATGGCCCGAAGATAAAGTACAATGCATTGTGATAGATTGTGATCCAAGCAACAACTTATGGGCGAAATACTTCGACGTTACTCTGAAATTGGGAGCACACAGTAGCAATAGCATCATCTGAGAGCTAAATCAAATCACGCCATCCCAGATCTGACTGAAACAAAACAGATAACAATCTTAACACTCTCACACCTGTTCGTCAGAGAGCAGCAGCCGCATCAACACAATGTCTATCTATTCTCTCTCAATCAAAGAGCAAATTAACAACTTAGAGACTCGAGCGAGAGAGAGAGAGAGAGAGAGAGAGAGAGAGAGAGAGAGAGGTAATACGAGAGAGACCAAGAGAGATAGAGAGAAGCATTATCCGGAGAGGTGGGGAGGAAAAGACAGAAGAAACAGCCGAAGGGATTTGGTGATTGGGAGAGAATTGAACACAGAAGGATCAAGCTTTTTCAGTTGATTTTTGTGAAGATGGAGATATGACACATATCCAAAAACTCGCGGTTCGAGATGAAGGGCACAAGGGAGCGAGACATGATCAGCAAGCACGGCCAAAGGAGTTCAAAAAGAGAGAATCCGTGATGGCATTCGGTTCATGAGATAAACGGTGTAAGTCACAGCATCGACCCAATGTCTTGGGTGCGTAAGCACCAATTAGAAGGGCACGGATAATCTCAAGTAGGTGTCTATTTTTTCATCCAGCTACTCCATTTTGTTGTGGGGTCTGAGGACAAGTAGTCTCATGAAGAATACCCTTGTCCTTGAAGAATTGGGACATGTCTTGATTAAGATATTTAGCACCATAGACCATGTGATAAAAGATTTTGAAGATTCCACCCACATCACTCTTATTTTTCATGAGGTACAACCAAAGTCATTATGGTGCAACCATCAATGAATGTTACAAAGCAATGAATTCCATGCTGAGGAGTAACTGGAGATGGTCCCCACGCATTAGAATGAATCAATTGGACATGTTCATTTATTAAAACTCGAAGAAAATGAAGCATGATGGCTTTTAGCTAATGTGCAGACATTGCACTTGAGACAAGAATCTGAACTATTACTAAATAACAACAAAAGCAATTTCCGCAAATAACCAAATGAGCCATGACCTAGGTAACGATGCCACAACTGAACAGTCTTCAATTTCCCGTTATCTTGACTTCGCTTGATGAACATGACCATGTGCAACATCGTTAACATAGTACAACCCCATCCTCTTAGTACCACGCTCAAGGATCGCCTGAGACCAGATATCCTTAAGTAAACAGAAGGATGGAAACAATAGCACAAAACACTCTAATTGTTCGGTGATCTGTCCCACAAATAATAAATGGCTAGACAGTTTGGAAATAAGTAAGGTGTAAGGAAAGAGTAAGAGTAAGAGCCATCGAACCCGCCTTTGTAATTGGAGCAACGCCTTCATTGGTAGTGACACTATTCCGTGAAGGTGGTGTTGTGGAACTAAAGAGGGTATGATCATAAGTCATATGATCAGTAGCCTCTAAGTTAATAATCCAACCCGTATCATAATCAATGGACGCAATTAGGGAAGTGCCTGTTTTACCTAGGTCATAGGACTGCTCATGCGAAGCAATCATGTTCAATAGTGAGAGTTGTGGGCCCAGTTCATCCATGTCTGCTTCCTGATGTCGTCTCGCTGGTGGGTTGATTGGGGCCCGTTACATTGTGGATGATAACATCGTCGTCAGCTCCTTTCCTTCGCAAGCTTTGGTCTCCAAACTGCAAGGCACTCAAGTTAGGATTTTCATGCGAGCCAGAGTTCAGGGCAATGACTAGAACCACGGTTCTGTCATGAATTGTTATTTTTATTTTTTGGTTTTGTTTTATTTTGTTTCGGTTTTTTTGAGGTTTAGTGGTACTCTCTTGTATCGAGACTTGTGAATCTGGTTACAGGCAGTGATTTCGGTGGCCAACAGAAGCTTTCATGTCGGCGGTGACAGGGACTAGGGTTTAGAGGAAGAGACAGATCGAAACCTGCTCTGATGTCAAGATAAAAAGTACACTATTTAACATTCATCATATTCTTCTCCCTCTAGGAGGCAATATGTATAAAACACACACCTTGTGATACAAGTAACATCAAATGAATTCTAACTAAATTAGAAAACACAATGATATTCCTAATCAATCTAGGGCTCACACCAACAGTTATTTCTTTTGACTTCTCAAAAGTAGAGTTGTTCCTTTTTTCTTTCTTTATTGGAAAAGCTGATGTACAGCTCACTTTGCCCCTTTAGTCAGAGCTCTCTCTCTCCCTTGCTCGAGCTCTATCTCCTCTGTATATTTAGTTGTGTGAGTCTTGTATTGTCCATTATGAAAGAAATATATTTCTATAATTTTTCAGCATGGTATCAAAGCCTTGTCCTTCTTAGGCCTGACTATGTTGTTGCCGTGATATTTCACTATTCTCAGCCTTCAACATGGCAGAAGAAAATTCTGTATAACATGAAGCTGAGAGCACACTTGTCTCACCTTCTACAAATTTTTCTGAGGTTGATATCAACCTAGATCAAAAGGTATTGACTGGACTTCCAATGTGGACAAAGCAAACTCATCATCACGGTCAGTGTGACGGTATGAATTCTTATTTTTCTTGGCCAGTGCACGTCGTAACGGTTGCAAGAAATTGAGCTTACAGCCAAGACATGTAGTTGTCTAGTTCCAGAACCGCCGTGATCGGTGGAAGACTAAGCAGCTCAAGCGGGAATACAACCTTCCAAATCTTCTTATGACACTTTTTTGTCTAAGTACAACTCCATCCTCAAAGAAAATCAGAAGCTCAGGTCCCAGACGTTCTTCACAAATGAGAAGCTTGGAGGCAAAGAGGAGGCTAATAGCACAAAAGCAGCAGCATTTGCAGTGAATGATCACAATGACGAGAAGCGTGGCCCTGGTATCACCCCATTTTCAACTACTCTCAATCTCTTCCCAGAGTGTTTTCTTTTCTTAATTGGTAGTTCACTAGTAGATGCAAGGAGAAGACTTTTATAAAGCAAATTAGAAGTGTGAAGTCAATTTTTCAGAAATGTGCAAGCCCAAAAAGTTGACCATGATCAGACACTTCCTCATGCAGAGACCCCGTGCTAGTCTTGTGCATGAGTGTTGGGTCATTGATTTAGGTGCCATTGATCACATTACAAACCAAGATACAAAATTGCATGATTTTCATAAAATTTCATCTCAAGTAATAGTTGCTAGTGGTAGAGGAGTTTCAGTTATGGGTAGAGGAAAAGTTATATTAATTTCTAACCAAGTTGAGTCCACAGCACTCTATGTCCCTACCTTCCCTTATCAACTTCTATTCATGAGAAAAAAATCACCAAAACACTAAACTGCCTTGTAATTTTTTTGTCTTTGTAACGTGATTTTCCAGGATCTAATTACTGGGAAGACAATTGGTGAAGGATTCTTAAAAAATGACCTCTACTGTTTGCCAGGGGATTTATCTTTATCAAAGAGTTTTCAAGTTAGTACAAGTTCAAATCCGTCTCAAGAACAACACCTGTGGCATCAACGTCTAGCACATCCATCTAATCCCATTTTGTCGAAGTTATTTCTTAGTATGTGTCAAATACCCATCAAGTGTGATACTTGTATGTTTTCCAAATTTTCTAGACTACCATTTAATGCTTCATTGTCTAGAGCGAGTAAACCTTTCGAGATTGTTCACTTGGAAATTTGGGGTCCAATTAATAAATCGTTTGATGGCTAATTTTGTTACATTTGTTGATGATTTAACAAGAATCACTTGGTTATTTCTCTTGAAAAATAAAAGTGTGTTATAGATAATGCGTGGATGGCCCACATGAATAGTGATTCTATTGCCTATAAAATGAATGAGAGGAGAAGGAGGAGAACACACAACAAACGGAAGAAAGAAAGAGGAAGGAAGAAAGAGAGAAAGAAAAGAAGAGAAAGGAGAGGAAGAAGAGAAAGAAGAAAGAGATAGAAGAAATTAACAGTGAGCTAGGCTAGAGAGAAGAGAGAAAATAGTGAGATTTATCTTTGTACCCCTATTATTTCACGTAATGAAAGAAAGTACTACTGTTGCCTCAAGGACGTAGGCACACTTGCCGAACCTTATAAATATTATGTCTCATTTACTTTAAGTTCCACTGCACACATACTGTCGAT